ATATTGAAGGATACCTGAAAACATTCTGGATAGACCATTGATGTTTAACTTTTCATTCTTAACTTTAAAATTGAATTTTTTTGTTTTTTTAAGTATAAATAATTTATTTTAAGTAAAGATTTATAATTTATAGTTACTTTAAACACAAAATGCTGTGATGTCGTTGTTGTATTGTTACAGTTGCACCCCTTTGTTGTCAATCTGTGCGGCCCATGATGCTTGAGTTGAGATGTGTTGTTTTACCTGTAGATAGCCATTAAAAATCTAGACATCACGCTGGACAGAGGTGTGAGTTTTCCTTGTGTTATACATAGTATTACTAAATATATCATAGTTGGAATCAAATGAGACTATAGCAGAGAGAAATTGTAATACGGCAAGAGTTCATACTCCACCTTCTTTAAATGTAGCCAACTGAGACTACAGCAGAGAGAAGTTGTAATACGGCTAGAGTTCATACTCCACCTTCTTTAATTGTAGCCAACTGAGCCTATAGCAGAGAGAAGTTGTAATACGGCTAGAGTTCATCCTCCACCTTCTTTAAATGTAGCCAACTGAGACTACAGCAGAGAGAAGTTGTAATACGGCTTGAGTTCATACTCCACCTTCTTTAAATGTAGCCAACTGAGACTACTGCAGAGAGAATTTGTAATACGGCTAGAGTTCATACTCCACCTTCTTTAAATGTAGCCAACTGAGACTCCAGCAGAGAGAAGTTGTAATAAGGCTAGAGTTCATACTCCACCTTCTTTAAATGTAGCCAACTGAGACTACTGCAGAGAGAATTTGTAATACGGCTAGAGTTCATACTCCACCTTCTTTAAATGTAGCCAACTGAGACTTTAGCAGAGAGAAGTTGTAATACGGCTAGAGTTCATCCTCCACCTTCTTTAAATGTCGCCAACTGAGACTACAGCAGAGAGAAGTTGTAATATGGCTAGAGTTCATACTCCACCTTCTTTAAATGTAGCCAACTGAGACTTTAGCAGAGAGAAGTTGTAATACGGCTAGAGTTCATCCTCCACCTTCTTTAAATGTCGCCAACTGAGACTACAGCAGAGAGAAGTTGTAATACGGCTAGAGTTCATACTCCACCTTCTTTAAATGTAGCCAACTGAGACTACAGCAGAGAGAAGTTGTAATACGGCTAGAGTTCATACTCCACCTTCTTTAAATGTAGCCAACTGAGACTACAGCAGAGAGAAGTTGTAATACGGCTAGAGTTCATACTCCACTTTCTTTACATTTGAAGAAAGGATGTGAGGAATGGAAACTGTTGAAACAAATGTGGATGAACTATTGCATTGTGTCAGAAATCAGCACAGAGGATGAGAAGTATAGAAAAGCTCTATTCCTACACACCCTAGGAGGACCAGAGGGACCGACCATTTACAATAACATGCCTCGTAAACAAAAAACACAATAAACAGGACGTCATAAATAATTTTGATGACCATTTCCTGAGAAGGATTGACTCAGGTGCCAGCGTTAGTGTGATTCCGAGGAAGTTTATCAAAACCGCACAAGTCCCTCCCACTAAAACTAAACTCTGTGTTTAGGATGGAAGCACACTCTTGCCTATTGGAAAAGCAAAATTAATTGTACAAAGCGCAACAACCAAAAAACAAATACTCTGTTGATTTCATCATGAGAAATAACCTGATCGCACTATTAGGGAAGAAAACTTCAGAAAAAAATGAGGCTTAATACATTAATAATACTTTTGAAAGTGTTGATAAGGTCGATGAGTCTTTATCCAAGAAATCACGTTCTCCTAAAATATTTGAACATTTCCATGACATTTTTGATAATCAGCAGGGAGACTTATCTGGAATCGTACACCTAGAGGTGAATCCTGAGGTTACACCAGTTACCTGCCCGTCTGGGCATGTACCAGTTGTAATGGAAGCTAAACTGAAAGCTGAATTAAAACAATTGACTAAAAGAGGTATTGTCGAGACGTTGACAAACCAACTGACTGCGTTAGTTGACTGCTGGTCACCACAAAGAAATCAGGAGAACTCCAAATCTGCTTGGATCCTGGTCCTTTAAATAGAGAAGTTAAAAGAGAGCACTTAAAAGAGAGCTCTTCACTCTTCCCATTATGGAGGATCTATTACGGCAACTGTCCTATGCCCAATGGTTTTCTAGATTGGACCTGGTTAATGCTAACTGGCATGTACATCTTGATGTGGAATCAAGTCGACTGATTACATTTCAAACTCCCTTTGGGGGATACAAATTAAATGGAAAAGACTACCATTTAGAACATCTGTGAGCTCAGAGATTTTTCAAAAGCGGCTTCATGTTGCTCTTCAGGGACTTGATGAAGTGATAGGTGTCATAGATGATATCATAGTTTATCGTTCTGTCTTGATGGAGTGATATGTGTCATAGATGATATCATAGTTTATTGTTCTGTCTTGATGGACTTAAACGAGTGATAGGTGTCGCAGATGATATCATAGTTTATTGTTCTGTCTTGATGGACTTAAACGAGTGATAGGTGTCGCAAATTATATCATAGTTTATGGTTCTGTCTTGATGGACTTAAACGAGTGATAGGTGTCGCAGATTATATCATAGTTTATGGTTCTGTCTTGATGGACTTAAACGAGTGATAGGTGTAGCAGATGATATCATAGTTTATTGTTCTGTCTTGATGGACTTCAACGAGTGATAGGTGTCGCAGATTATATCATAGTTTATGGTTCTGTCTTGATGAACTTAAACGAGTGATAGGTGTAGCAGATTATATCATAGTTTATGGTTCTGTCTTGATGGACTTAAACGAGTGATAGGTGTCGCAGATTATATCATAGTTTATGGTTCTGTCTTGATGGCTTTGATAGAGTGATAGGTGTCATAGATGATATCATAGTTTATGGTTCTGTCTTGATGGACTTGATGGAGTGACAGGTGTCGCAGATGATATCATAGTTTATGGTTCTGTCTTGATGGACTTGATGGAGTGATAGGTGTCATAGATGATATCATAGTTTATGGTTCTGTCTTGATGGACTTGATGGAGTGACAGGTGTCGCAGATGATATCATAGTTTATTGTTCTGTCTTGAAGGACTTAAACGAGTGATAGGTGTCGCAGATTATATCATAGTTTATGGTTTTGTCTTGATGGACTTCAACGAGTGATAGGTGTAGCAGATTATATCATAGTTTATGGTTATGTCTTGATGGACTTCAACAAGTGATAGGTGTCGCAGATTATATCATAGTTTATGGTTTTGTCTTGATGGACTTCAACGAGTGATAGGTGTAGCAGATTATATCATAGTTTATGGTTCTGTCTTGATGGACTTCAACAAGTGATAGGTGTCGCAGATTATATCATAATTTATGGTTCTGTCTTGATGGACTTCAACAAGTGATAGGTGTCGCAGATTATATCATAGTTTATGGTTCTGTCTTGATGGACTTGATGGAGTGATAGGTGTCGCAGATTATATTATAGTTTATGGTTCTGTCTTGATGGACTTCAACGAGTGATAGGTGTCGCAGATTATATCATAGTTTATGGTTCTGTCTTGATGGCTTTGATAGAGTGATATGTGTCATAGATGATATCATAGTTTATGGTTCTGTCTTGATGGACTTGATGGAGTGGTTGGTGTCGCAGATGATATCATAGTTTATGGTTCTGGCGACACATTAGAAGCAGCATCTCGTGATCACGACAAGAACATTATTGCTTTGTTAAAGAGATGTCATGCTGTTGGATTAAAGCTTAACATGGATAAGGGGAATTTAAAATGAAGGAAATTTCATACTTAGGTCATCGAATCACAAATGAAGGGTTGAAAATTTATCAAGAAAAAAATAGAGCTATCAAGGGAATGAAAAAACCAAGGAATGTTGAGGAGGTAAGACGCTTATGTGGCTTTGTGAGTTATCTCTCAAAGTTTCTTTCCAGACTATCTGATACCCTTAAACCTATTAATCAAATACTATGGACTAATATCCAGTGGTCATAGTCTAAAAAGCATGACACAGCCTTCTGTGAAGTGAAGTCCAAGGGTGACAAGGCTCCGGTGTTAGCATTCTATAATCCCAGAAAAGAGGTAACAATACAATGTGATTCTAGCCAAAAGGGACTTGGGGCTGTACTAATTCAAAATGGTAAGCCTATAGCCTACGCCAGTCGGTCTCTGACTGACACTAAAACCAGATACGCACAGATTGAAAAGGAAATAATAACCTTTGCGTTTGTTCTAATTGCAGTAATTTTTCAGAGGTTGATAGACTGGAAAACACAAGAACAGAAACTGTGGTCAGAAAAATAAAGGCCCAGTTTTTATCAGTGACAATGGTCCACAATTTACATCAGATACCTTTGCAAAATTTGCCAAAGACTGGGATTTTGATCACTGCACAAATAGTCCACACTACCTTAGATTTAATGGAAAAGCAGAATCTGCAGCCAAACAATCAAACACCTACTAATAAAGAATAAGGATGATCAATTCTTAGCTTTACTGAATCACCATAATACGCCAAATCAAATGGTTACTAGTCCAGTGCAGTCATTTTTCAACAGAAGAACCAGAACACTGCTGCCAATAGCCCAAGCCTGTTAAAGCCAAACATGACTGATCCTGAGAAACACAGATCAATACAGATGAGTTCAGCAACTTACTACAATACACCCGCCAAGGATTTACACCCCTTGATGAGGAGGATGCGGTGAGACTTACTCCATACTCACGAGGCAATAAGAGATCAGAAAAAGGAGTTGTCACTAAACAACTTGATAAAAGAACATATGAAGTTGCATCATGCGGTAGTATTTACTGTCACAACCGATCTCATCTAAGAAGAGTTGTACCAATGGGTGATCAGACTGCTTCTGCATCCCATAGAGTTCCAGAACCTCAATACATAATATTTAATGAAAAATAATATATTGATATTATAAGCAATAAATAGATCATATATTTTATTAATTGACAAGTAGAGCCACATATGAGGGCCATAAACCACCATTTATAATATAGCTACCTTGTGAGCTAAAAAGGCTTGAACCACCTGATTGGCTATCTCACCAAGACATTTCTCGTACCAATGTCGCTGTTCACTCAATAACATGAGGGAGCTGCTCTCCACCTCCACCATCTTTAATCTCTCCAGTGAAAGTTTAATCTTGTCTTGGACCTGCAAGATAAACCAACTATGATGAGGGCTGTAGACTGGCATTGTTAATTATTTAGTAAAATTTTAATAGGTAACAGGTAGAAGAGTTCAGGTAACATTGTTGAAAGAATGATAGGGCAAAACAGATGTAGATGAATGGGTAAACATAGATGTAGATGAGATGGGTAACATAGCTGATGGAATAGTGGGGCAACATAGATGTAGAAGAGTGGGAAAATGCAGCTGTAGAATAATAGGGAATCAAGTTTAATAAATTAATATTAAGATTAAAAAGTGCAAAATATACTTTTATTATTTTCATTTTTTATCCATTAATTTAAAAAAATTGGAGTTTGGATCAGTACGAAATTTGAGCAGCTCGAGATCCAGGCAAAAAAAGACTGCTCCAGAGCGCAGATCCCAAACCCCTGATTACAAGTAACAATTAGAAATTAAAAATTCCAAAATTAACTCCTAACTTGTATTAACACAACATATGGATGTCTGAATGTCCCCATAATTTAATTAAAGAATTCAACTTTTTTCATTATTAAATTTACTGTAGGTCAATTATTAAATTGTAGTTCTGGGGCCACCCCTTAGATATACTTTTTAATAATTTCCAAAGAAAACATAAAATCTTATATACTCAGTTTCATACTGGTCTATTATTGTGATAATAGTGATACTACTAATAACTCATATGGGCTTAAGTTAATTAAGAATATCAAACTCATCTTTATACTAGTCATACCCAAAGCATAGTTTGTTTTTTGGTATGTGTTTTCAATTTCTGTTTAAGTGTTTTTTTGGCTAGGCCGTAGACCTATAAATGCTATATTATATATTATTAAGTTAATTAAGTTAATAATTAACCTAGGCCACTGGTCAGCAAAATGATTAGTCAAAAGAGAAAAAATTAGCAGCAGGACGATTAACATTCTTTTGAGAGCCAAAGTTCTTTTTTATAACCTGTCAAGAATCATGTTTTTTTGAGTCAAAACCAATTTGTGGCTGGCCGGCCGAGCCGCACTCAAGTCGTTAAGGCTATATTATTACTATATAATATAAAAAATCAGTTTAGGCCTACCCTAATATTAATAGATAGACTAATGAAATATAATAGGTACATATTAATTACTATAATTATTTCTATTATTATAATTATGAATTAGGCAAATTTTTGTTATTCCTTATTCCAATTTATTATAACTCAACATGTTACATACTTGTCACTAACATCACAAAGTTGACTTAGTCGTATGTCCTAGACATCCATTGATAGGGGCATTTTTATGGGCATGGATGGCTATTTACAGTAGGTCTATTCAGTGTGAATGTTATTATAATAGTTATTTTTCATAAATTTGAACAAGTTAATATGTCTATGCTATGAATACTTTTAGCTATGAGTATGAGTATGATGACTAAAAACTTTATAGGCCTATTAATACTATTATTATTATTTGATTAATCATCATACATTGTGAATATGGCGCCTATAAATACTATAATTTTATAATAGTAAAGATTAAAAACTAGAGAAGAGAGCAAGTACTGTAAAGTATTACTATTCTTAAAGTTAGTTTAGCAGGTTAAAAACCTTACCATTTAAATTCTCAGGGCCCTTCGTCTGAGCATCCTTCAGGCCTCTGGTCATGAAACGTCAGTTGTCATGTTTTTGGTTATCAGAAATGGCATTTAACCTTTGAAGGTGTGAGAAACTTGACCATGTGGAGTTTTTTGGGTTTTTATGGTAAGGGTTCCCCCAGAAGTACTGCAATAGTGGGGTAGTCCGTTCTCAAATTCAAAGTCTTCCCTTTCGGGTATCTTGGCCTTGTGGCTCTCTTTATTGTTCTTACCAATCGTCCTGACCCAGGCTGAAAATCAAGTGATATATCATGTTCACCCAAACCAGTTTTGTAAACCGGAGGGATAAGTACAGACGTCACATCCTGATCTTAGCCAACAGGCCGAGGAGAGGGGATTGGATTGTTATTTTGGCCTTGTGGCTCTCTTTATTGTTCTTACCCATTGCCCCAACCCAGGCCAAAAAACAAGCGAGATATGTTCATACAACCAGGTTTGGTAACCCGGCAGGAATAAAAAGACACTACATCCTGATCTTAGCCAACAGGCCGAGGAGAGGGAATTGGATTGTTATTTTGGCCCTGTGGCTCTCTTTATTGTTCTTACCAATCGTCCTGACCCAGGCTAAAAATCAAATGATATATCATGTTCACCCAAACCAGCTTTGTAAACCGGAGGGATAAGTACAGACGTCACATCCTGATCTTAGCCAACAGGCCGAGGAGAGGGGATTGGATTGTTGTTTTGACCTTGTGGCTCACTTTATTGTTCTTACCCATCACCCCGACCCAGGCTGAAAATCAAGTGATAGGCCTATATCATGTTCACCCAAACCAGTTTTGTAAACCGGAGGGATAAGTACAGACGTCACATCCTGATCTTAGCCAACAGGCCGAGGAGAGGGGATTGGATTGTTGTTTTGACCTTGTGGCTCACTTTATTGTTCTTACCCATCACCCCGACCCAGGCTGAAAATCAAGTGATAGGCCTATATCATGTTCACCCAAACCAGTTTTGTAAACCGGAGGGATAAGTACAGACGTCACATCCTGATCTTAGCCAACAGGCCGAGGAGAGGGAATTGGATTGTTATTTTGGCCTTGTGGCTCTCTTTATTGTGCTTACCCATCACCCCAACCCAGGCTTAAAATCAAGTGATAGGCCTATATCATGTTCACCCAAACCAGTTTTGTAAACAGGAGGGATAAGTACAGACGTCACATCCTGATCTTAGCCAACAGGCCGAGGAGAGGGGATTGGATTGTTGTTTTGACCTTGTGGCTCACTTTATTGTTCTTACCCATCACCCCGACCCAGGCTGAAAATCAAGTGATAGGCCTATATCATGTTCACCCAAACCAGTTTTGTAAACCGGAGGGATAAGTACAGACGTCACATCCTGATCTTAGCCAACAGGCCGAGGAGAGGGGATTGGATTGTTGTTTTGACCTTGTGGCTCACTTTATTGTTCTTACCCATCACCCCGACCCAGGCTGAAAATCAAGTGATAGGCCTATATCATGTTCACCCAAACCAGTTTTGTAAACCGGAGGGATAAGTACAGACGTCACATCCTGATCTTAGCCAACAGGCAGAGGAGAGGGAATTGGATTGTTATTTTGGCCTTGTGGCTCTCTTTATTGTGCTTACCCATCACCCCAACCCGGGCTGAAAATCAAGTGATAGGCCTATATCATGTTCACCCAAACCAGTTTTGTAAACCGGAGGGATAAGTACAGACGTCACATCCTGATCTTAGCCAACAGGCCGAGGAGAGGGAATTGGATTGTTATTTTTGCCTTGTGGCTCTCTTTATTGTGCTTACCCATCACCCCAACCCAGGCTTAAAATCAAGTGATAGGCCTATATCATGTTCACCCAAACCAGTTTTGTAAACAGGAGGGATAAGTACAGACGTCACATCCTGATCTTAGCCAACAGGCCGAGGAGAGGGAATTGGATTGTTATTTTGGCCTTGTGGCTCTCTTTATTGTGCTTACCCATCACCCCAACCCAGGCTGAAAATCAAGTGATAGGCCTATATCATGTTCACCCCAACCAGTTTTGTAAACCAGTGGGATAAGTAGGCCTACAGACGTCACATCCTGAACTTAGCCAACAGGCCAAGGAGAGGGAATGTGATTGTTATTTTGGCCTTGTGGCTCTCTTTATAAACTTTATTGTTCTTATTCTTACTCTCACCAATCGTCCTGACCCAGGCTGAAAATCCAGTGATAACGGGTATATCATATGCACCCAAACTAGTTTTGTAAACCGGCGGCGGGATAAGAACTAACACTACATTCTGATCTTACCCAACAGGCAATCGGATTGTTTTGCTATCTTGGCCTTGTGGCTTTCTTTATGACATTTTATGATTATGTTCTTACCCATCTCTGAACCCAGGCTGAAAAACAAGCCAGATATCATGTTGACACAACCAGGTTTGGTAACCCGGCAGGATAAAAACAGTCCCTACATCCTGATCTTAGCCAACAGGCCGAGGAGAGGCAATTGGATTGTTATTTTGGTCTTGTGGCGTGGCTCTCTTTATTATGAACTTTATCGTTCTTGATTCTTACCAATCGTCCTGACCCAGGCTGAAAAATCAAGTCATTCATGTTCACCCAAACCAGTTTTGTAAACCAGCGGGATAAGAACAGACACTACATTCTGATCTTAGCCAACAGGCCGAGGGGAAATCGGATATTTTTCTGGACTTATTAACCCATACTAGTCTAAACCAGGCCGTGTTTTCTATTTTTTTTTTTTTTCGTATTGCAATTTAATTTCATGGTTGCCATTTTGAAAAAGACTGCTGCAATGTCACGTGAACAAAAGTTAGGCTGCGATTGGTTATCACAACGTACAAGTAGTATTTTATCAAATTCTCATTTTTGTCCAGAATTAAACAACTCCTAAAAACATTGTTTTTCGAATGAAAACATTATAAAATGTAACGAACACTAGGGTGTGGGGCTGAAAATTTGAGAAAAGATGCATACAAGTAACAAGAATCCAAAATAGTATTACCCCTTCTGAGCCTTCTCCAAGGCTCGCAACCGCACATTTTCTTCACACCCCTGATTATATAATTCTACTTCTAAGTAAGCGGCCTACCCGCTTTTACACTGCAGATGTATTTTCAACAACTATTTAAGATGAACAAAGGAAAATATTACGCACCAAACGAATTTGCGATAGTTATTTTTAAGAATCTCATTTAGCGCAGTTATCGGGAATTTTATTACGTGAAATCAGTGTCATCAAATTTCCTTTCTTGCTCTCTTTGAAAAACAGATTCTGGGGTGTTGGGGAGGGAGTGGGGCTGACAATTTGATTTTGATAGAATATGTTGTCATCGGCAACTAGCAAGGACGTCATTTAGGTGGTGGGGAATTTGCCATCCCCCTTGAATTTGTAGGTTT